ATATATTTGTTATTACTTTGAATATATTCTCTAGTCCACAGCTGTGGTGATGGCAGATACTGCAGATGATTGCATCCTGTTTTCCTTTTTAAATTCAGCGTTGTGAGTGAGGTAATGGGAACCAAGTTGTGTTTGGGGATCTTGTTAGTAAGAGTGCTGGCTTTTTCTGTGAGCACTTTTGAGTTCCTGATAACAATTTGTGTGACAGCACTAATGGAAAGCAGTATGTGGCCCCAATTTATTTATTTTTTTATGAATGCATTTTAAAAATTTGCATTTTCTTTTGCCAGTAAGAATTGTTCCTGGTCATGTAAGGCTGTGTCATCTATTCATATTTACATCCGTTGTGCCGGTCGCGTATTCTTTGTTCCCCATGCTCGCACGAATATAATTACAGATCTCTCACCCTCCTTTTCCATGGTAATGTGAGCATGTTCATGAAAACTGAAAAATCATGCCATCCCCATCTAGGGGATGGCATGAGACTTTAAGAGCTCAGGACTTGAACAGAAAGCTCTTGTTAAAGATAAAAGCGCTGCAGAAGACTTTCCATTGAAACTTGTTGCTGGGGAAGCGAGTAGTATTTTTGTTTAGAGAGTTGTAGAAAACGGGGCAGTGGAGGTTGTGCTTTAGTTAGAATATGATTATATAAGTCTGTAATCACTGTCCAGCCTCCTGTTCCACCCCACCAGAGGCTTTTTATTTAGTCCCCAGCTCCAGTGGGAATCCTAGTCACTCAGCTAATGCACTAATGTGTGCTACGTGTGTGCCGGTGCTCCAAATTTAAAGAGCTCCTTTTCCATGGTAATGTGAGCATGTTCATGAAAACTGAAAAAAATAACGAAAAAATATTTTTTTTCTCCAATCATCTAGGGGATGGCATGAGACTTTAAGAGCTCAGGACTTGAACAGAAAGCTCTTGTTAAAGATAAAAGCGCTGCAGAAGACTTTCCATTGAAACTTGTTGCTGGGGAAGCGAGTAGTATTTTTGTTTAGAGAGTTGTAGAAAACGGGGCAGTGGAGGTTGTGCTTTAGTTAGAATATGATTATATAAGTCTGTAATCACTGTCCAGCCTCCTGTTCCACCCCACCAGAGGCTTTTTATTTAGTCCCCAGCTCCAGTGGGAATCCTAGTCACTCAGCTAATGCACTAATGTGTGCTACGTGTGTGCCGGTGCTCCAAATTTAAAGAGCAAATTCAGTTTATGAGGCCGAATAATTTAATTCTTAGTGAGAACTTGCCAGAAAGGTTTGTCCCAATTAGGGCAGTCTGATTTGTATTTTTTTTAATCAGACTTTGAGCATGTCCTAACCAGGTGTGACGCAGAAATATTGTGAAATATTATTACATAATAAAAAACATAACATTTCTATTTTAATATTTTTTCAAATGTAATGTATTCCTATGATGGCAAAGCTGAATTTTCAGCAGCCATTACTCCAGTCATTCAGAAGTTATTGTAATATTCTGATTTGGTGCTTGAGAAACATTTCTTATTAATGTTGAAAACAGTTGTATATATTTAAAGAAAAATATGTATTTTCAGGTTATCAGGTTATCATGCTCTTTTTCTGTTGAGCTTTGATGTGCTGATTGCAGTATCACATATTCCACTGGCCTCCTCATTCGAGTTTTTTAGGGCTATTGATGTTGCAGAAAGCATTGCTCAGCAAAGTTCTGAAAGGTTGTGAACCTTTTACAGAATTAGAGGAATGTTTCATAGCCCATACGCCACCAGCCAAAGCTGTAAAATCTCTCCTGCTCGCTCAGACCGGGCCGGTCTGTAGATTACAATGCCGGCTGTTCTGACTCTCAGACTACAAGTACGTTTTTTTATATTTAAAGAATTGCCACTGACGATTCAAACGCGAGTTTTGAGCAGTTTAGAGTAGCGCATGATCATGATGGAGATGACAGACTTCACCAGGTGAGCGTAAATCACTCTCTTCCCTGCTCAAATGCCTGTCAAAGACCACACAAACGCGCACATCTCTTTTAGACTCAACTCAATAGACCTCTCTGGCCATGCACTACTGCTCTGATTTCACTGCGTCCCGGCTCAGTGCTTCAGCTTTATATTGGTCTGTATGGCAGTTTGCATTGGCAATAAAATGTGCACAAGCCTTTTTAGAGGGAAATCTTTTCCAATACTGAAAGAGAGAGTGGTGAAATCAGTTTTTGTATTTTTTTTTTTTTTGGAATAAAGCACTTGGTTCTATCACGTGGAACCTTTTTCCTTTCTCAGTGGAAGCAAATGAGCTGTGGAATTTTTTTGTATTTTTTGGTGGGCTTTTTACCTGCCTCATTTGCCTGCCTCATTGTCTTTCCATCATACGTGATCCCAAAAGAAAGGGTTTGAAAGGGAAAGAAATCTTTTAACCTCTTGATTTGATTTAAAAACAGCAAAGGGCAGAAGCTTCTAGCGCAAGAAAAGGTCACCTGAATTCCTTCCCTGTATTCTGACAGAATCGGGGAAAGGGCCGTTTTTAGGTGTGACAGCATTCATGGGTCGCACACCTGAGAGTGACTGCCATCTGCTCTCCCAGAGGACACAGTGTGTGTGTGTGTGTGTGTGAGAGAGAGAGACAGAGATTGAAAATGTCTTGGTCTATCGCTTCTCCCTGCCTATGCTAACCAGGACCCCTTTTTAAAGTGGATCATGCTGAGGACACCGTTTGCCAATATTGCACACAAAGTAATGACTGTAGGATGGCTGTCTTATCTCAAGAATAGGGGAAAAGCAGCTTTGTTTGCTGCTTCCTCCTGTTCAGGAGCAAGTCTCCATTCCTCCCCAGTGCAGTGAACACATTTGTCCACCAAAATTGAGATTTCTTTAAAAAAAATAAAATAAAAGGGTAAACTTACACAACACTTATATTACTATTAATATATATAAAAAATTATACATGGGTAAATACACACACACACACCTGGTTTGCTATCCTTGTGGGGACTCTCCATAGGCGTAATGGTTTTTATACCATATAAACTATATTTTCTTTCCCCATACCCTAATCTACCCCACACAGAAAACTTTCTGCATTTTTACAAAAAAAAAAAAAATCATTCTGTATGATTTATAAGCTTGTTTCACCATGGTGACCTCAATTTAACTGATAAACTGACTGTTTTCTATTGTGCTCTTGCATTATCAGCACGTTTTTCCTGTTGAACACTGTAAAGCTGCTTTGACACAATCTGTATTTTATAAAGAGCTATATAAATAAAGGTGACTTGACTTGTCTTAGGTCCCCATGGTGACACGAGTCCTCATGAGTCTGTGTGCATTCAGGTTTAAGTCCCCACCAGGATAGAAAAACAAGACCACAGACACGTATGGGAACAAAACGGAATGGAGCTAGATGAACAGGTGTTTATTGTTGGTTCTCAAAGGTTTTCTGTGCCACAACACACAGGCTTAACTAATCAAGTGTTATTCATTAAAATCATATATTTATTATGTTCATTAAAATGTTCATCAACTGTTTTCATTTGTGCCCTAAACATGATGTGTCTGTTGGCTGTTTTGTGTTTTAGGCTTGAGAATGATTTTGTTTCTGTTGAAGGTGACACTAATACCTCTTGTTGAAGACCCCCAGAAATCTGTCATTGTCTCGCATTAAAAGCAACAAGGCTGCAGTACATCTGTAGTGTGGTTGCACAGATTTGGTGGCATTTGCGTGAAAAATGGCAATTGGTGCTGATGTGTCACCTGCAGAATTGTGCTGAGTGAAGGTCTCGGCAAGTTAATTCAATCCACGCCCAAATTATTGCCCCTCGACCTTGAATGGGTACACAGTCCCATGAAGGTTAATGCTATAAAGAGGAAATTGATTTCGGGAGCCTTTATCTGGCCTCAATATCTGCAGAGAAGCGGCTTGCCACTGATTCTGCTTATGTCCCTTTCTGCTCATGAATAAAGCATGCGTCGCCGGGATTCGTGTCACATATTTTGGAGACACCTGTCTGTGCATGCTGTGGTCCAGTGCTTGAGCAGTTATATTGACACACACAAAATTGCACTACCCCCATCTGGAACCAGTATCAGTGGCTAATTCATGGGCACTCAGTCAGATTTGCATATCTGAGTGTGGGATTGTCAAGTGAGATGAAGTCACACTTGCTCTACAGTCACCTTGTAGTGGCCACACTCTCACCTAGGGCGGGTTATGGGTGGGCCACCACCAAAGCGACATCAAAATAACCCGTCCTTTGTGTTTCAGAATGATAGAGAGTTGGTTGCTCTTTGTGGGGTGCATTTTCTTTTTGTCTCTGGTGAATTCCTGTGACTGTTTTGATGGATGCAGTGCTGCCAGGAGGACCCTGCCTGAACGGCACAGAAAGAGAGAGAGAGTACTAGGGAGGGGTGAGTGTAGAGGAAGAGCAAAAAACACAAAATTCCATCTGTGTGGGTTGGATTGTTCAGTTTAGCCTGAAGAGAGCAGCTTTGAATCCAGGTTGCGCCACTTGCCAACTGGGCCCCTCAGTCCCTTGTGGGCACACAGAACTGGCAAATGACTGGCTGGATCGTAACCGGTGAGCTGCAGGGGGGTGTGCTGAGATGGGACGCTGGGATGGATGAGGCCAGAACTATTAAATGAACTGAAGTGGCAGTGACCCCAGGAAGCTGACCAGACATCACAGAAGAGGGTGGGAGCTGCTGCTAGCTCACGCCATCTGTCTGTCTATGCGTATCTCGTTCATTCGTACCCCCCACAAAGTCTTCAAGCTACTAGTGAATGGAAGCGTGTTGGAGAGGGATGTTCCTCCTTAATGAGATTAATCAATTGGAAGCAAATTTATCTAGTCTTGCCCAAAAAGCCTTGTTCACGCTGCGCTGTGTTCCTGTGAGTGTGAGGCTGTGAAACGGAAGAGCCTGTTTTTTCATCAACCTTGTCAGTGTGACCAGCCATTCTTATCTGTTGAATGTGTTGACATCTTGACATGTATCATCCATGCTCACACATACTCACTAGCACGTCACACGAGACTGCACACAGAACAGTAACTGTGAATGAAACTGCTGTTTTTGTTTCCCAGGGGGAAAGGACCACTCAAAAACACCTCTGATGTGATTAGTGCTGCAAAGAAGATTGCCGAAGCCGGATCAAGAATGGACAAGCTGGGCCGCGCTATTGCGGATCAAGTAAGTTGAACTCACAACTCTGTTTTGCAGGAAAAAACATATTTTCTGTTGGTGAATTATCCATGCACTTGTGTTTCATTTAAAGATCTTAATCCTTATGAAGCACTCCAGTGAAACGCAACAGTGCATGATTTATCTCTCAGCCAACTCCTATCCCTGGCTTTTTCACAGCACCTGTTGAAAATTGCGACAGAGACCATGATGCAAAAGACAGCACTATGGGTCCGTAAATCCAGTCCCCATAGTCTGACACTTATTTTTCTGGAAAGCGCTTCTTCTTGTAGCTGAGTGACAATGACAGGTTCACAGGCTTCGTGAAAATAATACAGGAACATTTCCAGTAAACATCAAACCAGTGTATGTGCTGCAAGGGTTCTTTCAGATTTTTCTTGTCTTCTCAATAGCGCTGTTGAACGAGATATTGTGAGCTCAGGAAGGGGGTTTTGCATGGCAGAGTCATCACTCATCACTCCACGAAGGCCTCTCCTCTCAGTTTGTCATTTAATTAAAAGAGTGCGTCATGCTGTGCTAACATCATGCAGCATGCAGACTACCAGTTTGATGTGTCAATAGCACTCATAGTGTGTTTTTAAAGAACTACAAGACATTTTTCCACTTTGAACTACATTAAAGGGATACTCCACCCCAAAATGAAAATTTTGTCATTAATCATTTACCCCCATGTCATTCCAAACCCCTAAAAGCTTTGTTCGTCTTCGGAACACTATTTTAGATATTTTGGATGAAAACCGGGGGGCTTGTGACTGTCCGATTGACTGCCAAGTAAATTACACTTGTCAAGGTCCAGAAAAGTATGAAAGACATCGTCAGAATAGTCCATCTGCCATCAGTGGTTCAACCGTAACGTTATGAAGCGACGAGAATACGGGTTTGGAATGCCATGGGGGTAAGTGATTAATGACAATTTTCATTTTGGGGTGGAGTATCCCTTTAAGCTAAAGGGTTAGCAGCAAGAACTTGTGAAGCTCAGGGCCACGCTAGATGTTAATTTCCCGAGTTCATGCATTTGCAAGCACATTTTGCACATGCAGCACAGTGCAGCACCCAGGGAGGGAATGTAAAGATACGTGGCACTGTCCTGTTTGCTGCATGGTAATGACTGTTAATTAGCCATGCCTGTGAACATCTGCAGTATGCTTTCAAAAAGATTCCTTTAACATAAACTTGCATAATAAGCAGCCTTCATGCAAACCAAAGCTCTGCACTTTTGATATTTTATTTAGGTTGCACTTTGATCCGACGTGAAGCAGCTCCACTTTTCAAGTCTGTAGTAATGCTACCTGCGCTGACCCAATTGGAGAGGAATACTAAATGTCCAGTTCAGAGACGGTGAAAGCTTTCATAGACCGCCACGTCCTGCCATGTCTTTGATGTTGCTTATTCAGTGCCGTGAATACAATGATATCCCCTGCAGAAAACAGATGGGTACTGTGCAGGTGCTTGTGCGTGTGTCTGTGGATGTGTTTGCTTATCTGCACACACTGACACATAAATGAAAATGCATTGTTTTCTTAACTGTGTCCATTATATTGAACCCACCAATTTTTTTGAGAAATGGTATTGGTTTGCATGTAGGACACATTTAAAATGAACTTTGCCACACGTGCCAATGACAGGTGTGATGAGAATTCACTGGTCATAATTTACAAATTTTTGTATTATTCTTACTATTGTTTTGTGTGTGTGTTTTGTTGATTTGTTTTTTACAGTTTAATTAAATATACCATTTAATAATTTAATATTGGAGTTAGTAAAAAAAAATAAAAGAATAAATTGTATTACTGCTGCTACTACTACTACTAATACATAGTTTTTAACAGTTTTTATTATACAATGTTATATTTTAATATTTTAATATATAATTTATTAATAGTTATTAAACTATTATTATTAAATCTCAATTTAGATTTGTATTGCATATTTGTGAAATAAGCTAGTCTTCATCTCTCTACACCTCGCAAACAGACAGTACTTGGCTAAATTAATTTTGTATGCTGTGTGAGTGTAAGTAGGGATTGCTGTGTGCATTATTAACAAGTGCATTGGTTGTGGGAATAAATGTGTCTGTCCGAGTATGACCCCCTGCTTTTAAACAGGTGTGAGCAACTCCAGACATTCAGCCCAGCCCAGCTCAGCTCAGTCCAGAATGTTCTCCCTTCTTCTTGTCCTGCCTACAAATAGAAGAATTGAGGGCAATAGGTGAAGAAAAAGTGAAAGGAATGAGGGATGGGAAGCCCCAAGTGAGACCTAAATCCATTAAGTGTGATTCGTCTTGAATTAGCAGTGTAATTACCAGGTGGCAGCTTTCTTTTTCTATATATATGCCAAACTATATTTAGACTACTCATACCTTCTTGTGCAGACGAGGCTGCCAGAGGCTAACTGCCGAAAAATGAACAAAGGGAAGCAGTTCCTTATACAGAAGGATGAATCATCAGATTCAGAGGAGCCTGCGGAGGGATGGAAAGCAAATAATCATGGCACTCCTCCCCCTACTCTCTGTCCTCCTTGCTCTCTTTGTCATATCAAATCCCTGCCACAGAATACACAGCGGTGGGCTATAGCATCACTCCTGACTGCTTGTCTAGTTTGTCATGTCATGTACTTTTGTTACTTCTGAGATTGCCAACAGACACCACAACAGAGCCGCCATGGCCAAAAATATCAGTGAAAGTTGAACATGCCAAAAAAAACATTCTTCAGAAACCTGGTACAGATAAGATGTTGCAGAGTGGGGAAAGTAAGTTTTGCAAAAAAATTAAAAATAAAACAATGATGAAAGCATGATTTGTATTGCATAACACTTAAGCCGGCACAAATACATCCTAGCAGCAAGCTTGGCTACTTAAACCTAACTAATCAAAATGAGGATATGACAAAACATACTCCTCTGCATCTGGAGGCCAACCAAGGATGCAAACGACAGTGGTACCCAAGCGGATAGCATGGATGATCGTTGATGATTACTGAGAGGCCTTTTCAGCGGGTGGTGCGTCTTGTCTGAGAATCAGGCCTTCTGAATCCATCTCATAACATCTAGCTGTTGTATGAAGATGTTTTTGGATCGTTGTAGAGTGCTGCCAGAAATGTTCGGGCAGATTTAATATGAGTTATCAGTTAAATGGCTGTAACAGAGCTCAATTAAATTTTAAAGAAATTAGTATAGTGCATAGATGAGGAGAATGCAGGATTTAGGTCATTGCCACAAAGGTCTGCACTGCAGTTTATTAAGAATTTACGAGCAGATTCTGCAGGGGCAACTTCTGAGGATGTCATCTGAGCACAGTGCTGAGCAAATAATGCAGTGTAATTGAGATTTATAATGCAAGTGTGTAAGCCACCACACTGTCAATAAATATTGTGCCCTACATGCATGCAAATTAAGGCATGAAACTGGCACACACGGACACGATCGCACAAGTCAAGTCAAGTCAAGTTTATTTGTACAGCGCTTTTCACGATACAAATCATTGCAAAGCAACTTTACAGCAAATTAAGTTTCTACAATATTTAGTGGTAGCTTATCAGTGGTGACTGTCAATCTAGCACAACACTAGGTTTGCATATTTAGTGAGGCAGACCTCCGGGCGGCAGCACGTGCTTTATGCCAGTGATGTATACCGACATACATAGTTTTCCTATTTACATTCAATCAGGGAAGATTTATGGTGATCCATAGGCACCACCACAGGTTGGATTAATCCCAGTTCTGGCCTCTGACTGCTTAACGGTGACAGGCCTGTAAATTTCCTTCTGTACAGTAGAAGAGCAAAAAAATCAAGACACGATCCCTCAAATTCTCAGCTCAGCACTTCAAGGGTTGGTACCTTACACGATGCCCACTAGCTTGGTTGAGACTCTTGATTTTGTGGCATAACGGCGGACTATTAGCAGTGTTTGCAATGTTTGTTTGAACTGGGTAATTAAATCATATTTTAGACATGAAGTATGAATTGCCTTGCAGATTTATTCATTCAGAGGTATTAAGACCTTCAGCCAGATTTCTCATTTTACTCAATTACAAATGTTTTTCTCAGTTTTATTTATTTATTTATTTACTTTTAAGGAAATGTTCCTAAAGTGTGCTATTTTTAAGTATTCAGTTTCTATGTTGTAGCAGCTCTAAATTTACACAGTTGGAAAAGCAATTGAATTAATGACACGATTGGTTTCTACATGTGAATCATTAAGGTAGCTACTACATTTCCTTAAATCCCCAAAGGTAGATATTATTATTTAGATAGTGAAACAAGGCTTCCCACAGTCATGTAAATACCAAAATTAGTGGGGTTTTTAACATTTTTTTTTTAGACTTTGAAAACTCATGGAAATGACCTTTTTTCTGTAAATATTTATCTGCTCTTGTGTAGAATTAAACTTGATTGTAAGCCATAGTGTTTGGTTTTTTAACAAATTGCTCAGTCATTTCTCTTCAGTGAATTAGTTAGAATAGTTCACAAATCAGTTTGTGATTCTTTAGCAAATTGGTCTGAATTGAAAATCTTTTTTAAAATCCTTATTCTGTGATCTCAGAGGTCATGGAGAGCTCATTGGTTATATATAAAAAAGGAATCCTGTGAATCTGAAGGATTGCTGTGAAAAAAACTGAAGGTAGTATAGGAGGGAGAAACAAATCCATAAGTTAAAGAGTTCAAAACTCTATTCGAGGATCCCAGTGGGCACTGTTGGTTCAGTTGTGTGAAAGTTTATGCAACATCAAACCAACCAGACATCTAGGAAAAGTTGTCCATCACACTCTGCTGTGAAAACAAGAACTTTCAGTCTGCTGAAAAAGACTTGGAAGAAAGTTCATCTTTCAAGCAGGACAGTGACCGAAAAGGCCAAATAAATAGAACAAAAAAGCCCTGCAGTGCCTTGGATATTGTTTTGATCTCAGTCCAGTTCCATGGCACCATTTAACAATTGTAGTGTGTAGGCGGAATCCAGCTAACCTGAAGCTGATCGGTTTGTCAGGTCTG